ATCGATGCAAGTGAGCGTGTGCAGCTCCTCCATACCCAGGTCAGTGTATAAATATATTTAGTATTTATACTTTTGCTCCATATATTTAAAATAGCTGAAGACTGGCTGAACTGTAACAGTATTTTGTAAAATGCATTGTAATTTTCACAGTATGGATAACAAATACTAAAAGTGACTTTTCAGCTGCAGATACTATATGAATTTCACTAGACTACAGTGCAGACACCTTAAAAGTAACAAATTCAGAGATATGTGAATATAACTTAAGTGAGTTCAACAGCTTTCACATTTACATTTGAGACTGTAACGTCAAATTTTGGTTGATCATTAACAAAATAGGAATACATTAATACTGTCACTAACATCATTTAACCAAGTCCGTATAAGTATTCTATAGCACCATTCAAAATTTTTACTGCCACTAGATTGAAAATGGTAAGGAAAGATTATATCTTTTTTCTTTATAAGTCTAAATTTCTTCTCTCTTGACTGAGAAACTGTGAGGAAAGACTTTATGGAGGATGTTACTGAAGCAGCTCATAGCTGAGAAACTAAGAGCTACCACAGCAGCTCCTTTAGAACAGAATCCCATGTAACCTAATGGCACAATTTATATTAAAAAACAACATTTATGCAATATTCTTGATATGATATTGCAAGCAAACAAAACCAAAATTGTGATGTTGATGGTCTTCAACAGAACACCAGTTTGATCAATACCAAGAAGAAGCTGGAAACAGATATTTCCCAAATCCAAAGTGAAATGGAAGAAACAGTCCAGGAAGCCCACAACGCTGAAGAGAAGGCCAAAAAGGCCATCACAGATGTGAGTTGGGGGCTCCTTTCACTGCTGATGGTGGATGTATTCTCCCCCAAACCATCTCCAGCCCCAAAACGGCTTTGACCCTTTGCTCTCATCAGGCAGCCATGATGGCAGAAGAGCTGAAGAAGGAGCAGGACACCAGCGCCCACCTGGAGAGGATGAAGAAGAACCTCGACCAGACAGTGAAGGACCTGCAGCACCGTCTGGATGAGGCTGAGCAGTTGGCGCTGAAGGGAGGCAAGAAGCAAATCCAGAAGCTGGAGGCCAGAGTGCGTAGGGCTTTCAGTTGTGCATGAGTGAGCATGTCCCTTGGTGAGATACCAGGGAAGCTCCACAGATGGGCTTCTCGTTGCAGGTGCGGGAGCTGGAAGGGGAGGTTGATGCGGAGCAGAAGCGCAGCGCTGAAGCCGTGAAGGGTATGCGCAAGTACGAGAGGAGGGTGAAGGAGCTGACCTACCAGGTAACACGGGAGGCTTCTTTGTGTTGACACACTCTTGTTCCAGGAAGCCAAAATGTTGGCACATTGCCTTCTAGAGGGATTTCTTTCTATACTTCAGTCAGTGACACAGTTACTAGGATTTTGACCTCTGTCCTTCTAGACAGCAATGCTCCATAAGGAATATTACTCCCTCTGTTTCACGTTTATGTAATTTAGAGAAAGAGGCAAATGAGTTTCTATTACTTGTCATTCTCTGTAGTCTGAGGAAGATCGGAAAGGCTCCAAGATCTAGTGGACAAGCTGCAAATGAAAGTGAAGTCCTACAAGAGACAAGCTGAGGAGGCTGTAAGTACAACTCTGACCAAGGCCAGACTTCCTTCTGGTGGAGGTGGAATTCTGTGTTGGTGTTTTCTTCTGTCCAACTTTTTGAAACCTTGACTGTTTTGATGCATTTGCTGGCACAGGACAATGGGGAATGTAAGAATAAGAATTTTCTGGGCTTGGAAGGAACTATACTTTCCCAGCTCTATTTCTTTTGCTCTAAGCTTCATTTCCCACCTCTCTTGATTCATTCCTACCCTACCTTGGGTGTCAGAAGTAGCTGCTAGTCTGTCTGTTCAGGACTCTGCCACAAACTCTGCCTGGACCTTGCTGTGTGTAATGTGGCTATGGCCTTTTTGACACTGCAATATTCTTTTCTCTTCTGGTACACTTAATGTCTTGAGCAGCTTCTTTCCTTAGTTCTGAACCTGCCCTACTTGCCCAGCTATGGCATTTAAATTGCCCAGTTTTCAGATATTAAATGTCCACATGCTACCTGTTGTTTTCACAACTCCCTCTCCCCACATAGGAGGAGCTGTCCAATGTCAACCTCTCCAAATTCCGCAAGATTCAGCACGAGCTGGAAGAAGCTGAGGAGCGGGCTGACGTTGCAGAGTCACAGGTTAACAAGCTCCGAGCAAAGAGCCGGGAGTTTCGAAAGAAGATAGAAGAGGAGGAATGAGGATCCTGAGGCTAAAAAGTGACCTGAGGCATGCATAAAATGTAAATCTCTGTGTTGCTTTCTTCTGTAATTATAATCTATGTCTAGGTAATAAAGACAGTAGAGACCTTTGCATATGAACAGTGATTAGCATGCTTTATTTATTTATTCTAGCGTTCATTACTTTTGGAGTACATGTACACAGTTCTTGTTCACATTTAAAAGTATATTAAACAGCAATAAATTTTTACATTTAAATTTTTAAAAATGCATGAGGAATAATAACAATTATATGGATTTTCTACTCATCTTGCAATGAGAAGTATGCATTTCTTTGATAGACTAAGACTACTTTCAAGTTATTTCGATGAATTCTCAGGAAAAAAAACAAAAAAAGAAGAAGAAGAAAATAAAATGAAAAGAGATTTCTGTAGCTTTTTTTTAAAGAAAACATATATTGTTTTTGTTAACTGAAAAATGTTGCTTATTTGGTTAGGCTTAAGTGTGTGAGAAACTCAAATTTCTACTTTGATTCAGGAGACTGAAGTTCACTCCAAGCATTGATAAGCAGTCAAACCAATATGGTGAGATAGTGGCATGAAGAGATATCCTCACTCTCTTTCTCTGAAGATATTGTATTTCATACATAGCACAAAATGAGAGCCAGTTCACAGGTGGGGCCAGTGACAAAAATCCACAGTTAAAAGACTACAGAAGAAAGAATAGCTAAGTCTGCAGACTCCTGGGCGTAGGTAAAACCAAGTGTTTTATGGACAACTGAAAGATAATTGAACATATATTAAGACAGATAAAGGTGATGGAGTATTTTCTGTTTTTCATTATAGATACAATATAATGTAAAGTAATGTCATAGACAAAAGGAACAAGTTTAAGCGAAAATCACTCAGGAATCACAACAGTTTCTACTGAGGTGTTAGTATGGTATCAGGAAAGTCTGCTTCCCAGAGATTGGATTTGAATATGGATAGGTATTTCTGTGTCTTAAAAAAGAGAAATAATTCTGGAAATTGTGTTCTCATGTTGACTTCCCCCATACAGACTGAAGATCAGACATGATTGTGGGTTTTTGTATTTCTCCAGCAAGCTGTTTGTGAAACAAGAGGAGGTCACAGTCTACCATTGATTTTTCTAAGTAACAGTATTAGAAGCAAATATTTAAGTTCAAGATAGTAATCTCATAAGTGATAATGGATTGATTCAGTTTAAAAGAAAGGATACACAGAGTTTACTTAAATCACCTTTTTAGACAGTAACAAAATTTTTTAAAGTAAAAATCGATGGACATAAAAGTTCAGAATGTAAGAGGTATAGCAACTATCAACAGTTGATGGAGATCTTTTATTTCTGTTGATATATTTAAAAACTGCCTTCTATAGAAATCAAACATTGTTTCATAATGAAATGTTCTGGGTGAGATTCACCTGTTACATTCTGACACAGAGTAGACTCCTATCAATGAGTTTATCTCATCTCACTGTTTTATTTTGCTATTCCCTGCATGAATGCTTGCTGTAAGGAGACCTGCAAAAGAGTCTCTGTGAAAAGCAAACATAATCTTCAGGGTTTTCTATATTCTCCACATTCTGACATGCAGATATCAAGAGGGATGAAAGAGTATCTGCATCTCCTGGAGGAGCAGGACCAAGAGAAGGAAGTCCTGTATTAGCAGAAGGAGTGTCTGAAGAAAGATGCCCTGTGGAAACAAAAGGAAGATAGAACAGGTCTTCCCTGACAGGTCAAGCCCAGGCAGCCAGTGCTGCATGCAGCAGCCCTGGAAGAAGATGGACTGTTAGGTACAGAATACTGCTTTCCTCACCTGGCAGTGAAGGAGAGAGATCAGTCACTCACCCACACTAATCTTTATAGGTCTAAATCTTGGGAAGGGCCCTATGGTCAAGAACATTACGAGAGATACCCCTCAACAAGACCCTCAAATACATTGACAATCCCCAAATATAATGATATGAGGAAATGGAACGAAACTGCATCAGGGGAAGTTCACATTGGAGACAGGAAAATGTTCTTCACTGATAGGGTGGTCGGTCACTGGAACAGGCTCCCCAGAGAGGTGGTCATGGCACTAAGCCTGTCAGAGTTCAAGTAATGTCTGGACGACACTTTTACTCATTATGGTTTAGTTTTAGGTAGTCCTGCAAGGAGCAGGGAGTTGGACTCAATGATCCTAATGGGTCCCTTCCAACTTGAGATATTCTATGATTCTATGATTGACAATGTTGTGCACCTCATGCTTGAGGAACTGCACTGATCATCTTCAGGAACCTCACTGACCCAAAACCTGATGGTAAATACAGCGCAAAGGCAACCCAGTTGGGGTACTGAAGAATGTGATAAGGGAGAAGTAAGCTGGAAGATGACCAGAGCCAACACTGGCTTTGCAACAGAAACTTTCTAAGGTGGCAAAAAATCTCTCTCCTCCTAGCTAAGAACAAGCCCTTACCCCTCTTCCCCATGTGCGTGCCCTCCTGCTCCATGACCAGTTCTCAACACAGGCCAAGTCCCAGCCAACTTCACATATACTCCTAAGCAATTCCAGCCAAAGTTCAAGGAATGTCATGCAAAGACCTAAGAAAAACAATCCTTTCTTCAAGGTATTACATCACAGTAATGTCCTGTAATGTTGGACAGTAAAGTTGGACAGAAGCACAGCTGGATGGTCAGCTTACTGGGACAACTGAGTGAGGACTATAGAATATGCACAGTACATATCTCACATGTGGTAGTGTATCTGTACCACCAAAGCAGGGAAAGGTGCTCAGTGTAGAACTGTCTTGTGCTATTCAATTGTGAGAGGCAATCACCATGGTTTGTCATCCAAAAATCATAAAGTAAATCAATTATCATGGTGATATGTTTTGGCAGTGAGCAATGCTGTCATAGAAGAATGTGTCAGAGGAGAAAAGTACCAAGGGGGATTCCTGGGAACATATCTGTTTTCTGAATTGTCTCTACACACTGTCACGAATGCAGGTCTGTGAATCCTGCTGATTATGTCAATTCACTATGAATGAGTGACTTTACACAGTTTGATTTAGTAAAAGTTAGAATTTACTTGTAGCAAATTGCAAAATTTGATTATATTTTCAATAGCAATCAATCATCAATGATTAATAAAGTGATTAGACAAAATTGATCAAAACAGTGACTTAGTTACAGATTCGAGGATGGCAAGGTTCACTCTATTACTACATAGAAGCACTGTCATGGTTTAGCTCCAGCCAGCAACTAAGCACCACGCAGCTGCTCACTTACTCCCCCTACCCCGATGGGATGGGGGAGAGAATTGGAGGAGTAAGAGTAAAAAAAAACCACTCCTGGGTTGAGATAAGAACAGTTTAATAATTGAAATAAGGTAAATAATAATAGTAATAATAATAATAGTATAATAATGATAACAATAATAATAATATACAAAGCAAGTGATGCACAATGCAATTGCTTACCACCCACCGACCGATACCCAGACAGTTCCTGAGCAGCGATCGCTG